ACCAGCCCCAGCAACAGCACTAGAGGCAGAGAGAGGCCCTCAGCTGCTGGGAGTCCTTACCCCAACTCTACCCCCTACACACTGAGAAGCTCCCATCCTCAGTTTCCATCCAGACCCCCTGGAGAAGGGGAGGGGCTTAGAGAGCCCAGTCTTGTCATGTACCATCAATAAAGTACACTATCCAGCCAACAAACAAACAAACACCAAAAAACAAAACAAAAGAAAACTTCAGTGGGTGTAGGAATGCCTACTTTTCATCTCCATTCTGCAGGGTCCAAGTACACTGTCTATTCTATACACCTCTTTAGCAATGGGCTTTATGATTGTTTGCAGGTTGACTTTTTCTGTCTATAATTGGCACTGACTCTCAGGAGAAGCACTGAGGAAATGAATCTCCCCAGATACCAGCTTCCCTCTGTGATGAACTGGAACTGGAACACCTTTTGAGTCCCTTTAGGGTCTGGATAAAGCCTCATTCATTGTGTTCCTAGGGTTTGGCAGAGTGCCTGGCACAACAGAGCTATCAGACGAATTCTTATTATATAATTATTTTGCATTACATACCAGTGTAATTATTATGTGCTTGAACTCCCAGTGTTCATGGCTGATGTGTATCCTAATGTTGTTTGCATCAACATTTTCCTATTTGAACTGAGAATCACTAATTGGATTGCGTAGGTGCAATGGACTTTAAAGACCAGCGTGGGATGAGTAGAAGCTGTTCCGAAGCGGGGATTATTTTAAGGTCTGCTCTCCAGGTCTGAGTTGTTGTAGGCATTTTGTAGATAAAAATAAATGATGAGGCTGGGGCTATATTTAGCTGGTGGTGAGAGTTTGTGAGGTGGTAAGGGCTTTAATAGCGCTCTCTGGAGGGCAGCATAACTCTGCCCTTCTGGCTGAGAACCTAGTTCAGCCAGACAGCTGAGTGGAGGCTTCTTACTGCCCAGGCAGCCCCAGCAGCATCTTTCAGTGTTTTTCTGGGCAAAGCAACTTTCAGGCACTCAGGAGAACAGAGATGACTCAGACACAATGCCGCAGGGAGCACAGAAACTGGGATCTGGAGTCTTCATGTGTACCTTTCAGCCTTAAATTGAGTCTCAGATTCTTCATTTGTGCAGAGGAGATCAAACACATAAGGGTGTTGTGAAGAGCAAATGAAATGATGTAGGCAAAATAATTTAGTACAGAGAGTGGGGCAGAAGAAATACCCAATACATAATATGTGGATATTTATTCAGATGAGAAACTGAGGGAGACTGGAGAAGTGAAAAGTTAATTCGAAGATGACCTTAAATAATTTTCTAAACACTTACAGTTTAGATTTTATTCTTGATCCATTAAAGTATTATTATTATTTTTAAATAACTCAATCAGATAGGTGGAAGATAGAGGGGAAGGAAGGGGCGATGGGACCATAGAGGACATGGATTAGAAAGACATATTTTGATCCCATAAGGAAATTAGAAAACAAGAAAGTAGACGGACTGAAACCAGAACATCTACTTTGTAAGGGAGTATATTAAAACAAGACATCATAAGGGAATTTTCTGAGGTCACAGTTTCAAACCTATTAAACATAGCATAATCTGGTTGGAAGTCTAAATCAGCTCCTTGAAATTTTGGAAAATAGATTACATTCAGTAATCTAGCCGTTGGCTTACCCTGTACATATTACTTGAATATTATCAGCACCAGAAGGTCTCCCTGCCCCCAAAATATAATTCCTATTTCTTTTACTAAATTAATTTGGTCAGCAGATTCCTCTTTGAAGATACAGTCGGTTTTCTTAAGATCTAAGGCTAGAACAGAGGTTTGGGTTGGATTTTGGGGTAAGGGGTAATGGTAGTGAAAAATCGGACAAAAAAGGGAATTATGTGGGATTTATAAAGTCAATACATATAAATAAATCCTAGAATAAGTGTAAAACATGTAGACTGGACATTGATTTTGGACATTTACACCGTAATTACTCATGTCAGTAAAAATTAATGTTCTTTCTTAAAACACTCCCTCTGAGTTGCTTTTGCATTTTACTCTACAAAAGTAGCTCTTTGTCCTCGTCCCTTTCACCTTGCTCTCAATCATATTCAACAGCACCAGGTCCGTTTTTCTGCTTATAACTGTTACTAAAGGTGTCTCATCCTTTCCTATGTGCGCGAAGCACTGCGTGTGCAGAGAAAATGAAAAGCTAGTTTGGGGGCTCCAGGGTCGATCAATGGAGAGAGAGGGTTAGAGAGAATGGGTGGAGGCACATATATTGTTGTTGGTGTTGAGTGCGCCCCCCTCCCCTAGACCATTCCGACTCAGTGACCCCAAGGAGTGTTTCCGAGGAGCGGCTGATGGGCTTGAATCGCCGATCGCGGTTAGCATTCCAGTGCTGATCCTACAGCGCCTCTCCAGGGCTCCAGAGACGCGCTGTAGCATCAGCGCTGGACTGCCAACGGCAAGGTCGGCGATTCAAGCCTACCAGACGCTCCTTGGAAACCCTACATAGGGTGATTGTTGTTGTTGTTGTTAAGTGCCATCAAGTCGGGTCCGACCCATAGAGACCCTGTACAGGGTTTCCGAGGGTGTAAATCTTTACGGGAGTAGAAAGCCTCATCTTTCTCCCGCGGAGTGACTGGTAGTTTCGAACCGCTGACCTTAAGGTTCGCAGCCCGATTCGTAACCACTACGCTACCAGAGCGGGCCCTAATTGAAGGTAAGGGCTGCGAGGACACAAAGGAGGAAGTGACTAAGTGGGTCTGCAATACGCCTTCACTTCTAAATAATCAGGCTGCGGACAGAATGGGGTGGGACGGACAGGAATGGACTTTAGGGGGAACTGAACGCTTTGGGAACAAGTTTCGTTAAGTGAGGAAGAGAATGAAAGTAGTGCTAGAAGCAAAGTCCGGACCGGTGGGCAGAAGCCAAGCCGTGGAAAGCAACTTTCCTGAGTGTCTTCCGTAGAAAAATGACAGGTTACACGACTTGGGGAAGTTAACTAGAGAACCGAATGTTTGCCTTTCAGTAATTCCTCATAAAGGGTTAAAATCCTAATTCTAAGGGCAAGGAGCGGGCGAGCAGGTAAACCCTGGCTGCAGTTCTCCGCCAGAAGCCAGGCATCCCGGGGAGGGGGCGGAGCCAACCGCGTCCGGGTGTAGGGAGCAAGCTATCGGACGCCGACCGGAAGAGTCAGTGTCAGCGGAAGGAGCCTGACGCGGAGCGAGGGGACGCTCGGTCACACAGCGGGGCTTTGTCAGGGCTGCACGGGGTCGAACGAGAGCCGGGTCCTGGCTGCCGTGCCGACCGCGGGAAGGGAAGGGGTAGCTGTCTGTCCGGAGCAGTTATTCCCGACATGCTCCTCTCGGGGAGGATTTCAAATCCTTGGCAACACCACCCTCCTCTCTTTCGTCGCCATCCTGCCCCAGCAACAGGCGACGGCCCGCTTCTCATTGGCCCAGCCCCACGCCGTCGTAATTTGATTGGCTGCGGCGGCTCCTGGCCCCGCTTCTAGGCTCGTCCCCTCCTCCATTTTGTCGGTAGGAGCCGAAGGGAGAGGTCAGATAGGAGAAGCTGCGGTTGTCCATTGCTACATCGTCGGTGCTCGTGGGCTTTGTTTGTTGCGTGCCTCATCTCTCCCTGGAAGGGGAGTGAGGCTTCTACGTCGGGCAGGAGCCTCTGCTGCCTTAGTTCCCAGCTTGAAGTCGGTGAGTGGTGGTGGCGCCGCGGACGCGGCCATGTTGGTGGCCGCACTCCCCATTGTTGGGAGGACAAGCCCGAAAGCCAGAGCAGGAACTCGGGGCGCGTCGCGGGGTCCGCGGGAGCAGGTTCTCGGATCAGGTTCCCAGCAAGATGGAACCGCCCCGAAGCCAAGCTACGCGCCGGAAAGGCCGAGGTTTCCGGGTTCGAGTTGTGAACAACCCAAGTCCGGGGAGCTCGGTTAACCCTGTCATTTATTTAGGATCATTGACATTTCTGGAACCCCTCTTAGCCTTTTGAAAGAAGGGGCGCGCTTCTTCGATTCCTTGGAATGTCATGAAATGCAACCACGGATGCGAAGTGGTCGCTACTTAGGGGGGCGCTGACCCAAGTTATGAGCTGTGGGGCGCCTTTAATGAGCGGGAGGAGTCGCGTGTAAGTTACACCAATTTTTGGCCAAGACTGTAAAAATGCTTTTGCAGTTTGGCACATTTTTGGTTAGTCTGTATGAGAATCGGAAAGGGGCAAAGGGTATCCAAACTTGGTGTGGGACTTGGGACCTCTTTTTCCGGGATTCCTCCCCGGGCCCAGTCATTGTTAAATTATGGCAGCTGTAAAGGCACCAGCCACCTTCGGAGAGTTTCTGCCTTTAGTTCTGAAACAGTCATTAGTAATAATGACTTCTTTCTGTATTTATCCTAGTCTATCGGTAAAACCACTTTTCCCAGTTTTGAATTGAAGCCATCTTTCTTAGCCAGGACTTCTCTCAAACTTGTGTGCTGAGGAGACTCAGATGTTGGCCTCAGCTCCCAGGCTGAACTCAGCAGATCGGCCCATGAAAACGTCTGTACTCAGGCAAAGGAAAGGATCCAGCAGAAAGCATCACCTATTATCCTGGGCTTGGCAACAAGGAAGAGGACAGGTAGTGGAAATCCTGCATTCAGAGAAGCAGACTGAAAGGTATAAATAAAAATCACATTTTAACAGGGAAGTTTAACTGGGTAAAACTGACTTCTCAACTCCTAAACCAGTTTTTGTTCTTCATTTTAAAATAAAGGATTGTTCAGATTGTTTGGAACGCTTAATTTTTTTTTGTAAGGTAGTATTAAAGTTGTGCATATAATGAAGTGAGAACGGCTTGCTTTATCGTTCTATAAAGCCACTGAATAGCCAGTATTTTTTTGGTTTCCCCTAAATGTCTGGAATTGCAATTGGGATTATAAAAGTTTTTTTAAGAAAGTATGAACTTTTTGCCCTTTCTGGACTTTTGACTAAATATTTTGTTTTCCACTTACTTCTAGGTGACAAAGAAGCTGAAGATGGGTGGTGGAGAGAGGTATAACATTCCAGTTCCCCAGTCTAGAAATGGTAGTAAGAACCAACAGCAGCTTAATAGACAAAAGACCAAGGATCAGAATTCCCAGATGAAGATTGTTCATAAAAAAAAAGAAAGAGGACATGCTTATAATTCAGCAACAGTTGCATGGCAGGCCATGCAAAATGGAGGGAAGAACAAAGTACATTTCCCGAATAATCAAAATTGGAACTCTGGTTTGTCAAGCCCCGGCTTGCTTTTTAAGACTCAAACAAATCAGAATTATGCTGGAGCCAAATTTAGTGAGCCCCCATCACCAAGTGTTCTTCCAAAACCACCAAGCCACTGGGTTCCTGTTTCCTTTAGGAATCCTTCTGATAAAGAAATAATGACATTTCAACTTAAAACCTTACTTAAAGTACAGGTATAAAATAAAGTATTACTGTTTAAATTTAAGTATCCTAAAGGAACAGTCAATGGGGTTTGAAACAAATTCACTAGGGAATTAATTTGTGTAAAAATGCTAATGTAGAAAATGTGATGAGACTTGTGTGCACTGTAATGAACATCAGTGTAACTTAAAATTACTATTTACTTGATATTGTGTTATTATTTGTTGGAAACTAGTGAATCAATTTAGCATCTAAAACACAAGGATTGAGAACTAGTCAAACATTTGGAAGTTTAATGTCATAGAAACACTTGACTAGTAATAGCCAACCTGATGTATTGCCCAGAAAAAAATGTGAATTTCTAATGAGATGTATTTTAATAGTTGTATAGTGAATATGGAAAAGGGCTTATTAAAATGAGGCACAGCACACTTCAACAGCCTTGTTTTTTACATGCAATGGATAGCTGTCTGCCAGCAAGTACATCATTTTTATACAGTATTGGGTGGCCACTGAATAGCTTTCAAAATACATTTTTGTGTTACAGCACTGCACAAGCTATTGACAGTGATCTAATCTAGCCTCAGATCATCCTTGCTTCAAGTGGTGGTGGGGATTTTTATAATGTGAAAGTTTTATGTATCTAGGAAAGAGCCATGTAAATATATATAATAAACTTGTAGCATATGTAAAGTTTTGTTGGTCTTTATCCTATAAAAATAGACTTATTTTAGTATGAATCTGATGAATGTTAAGACCACAGACTGTTTTTTAAATACTATAGACTAATTTTAAAGGTTCAAAATACTTGTTTTTAAAAGTTTGCCCTTGTGCTGAAGTGCCAGTGTATGTATAATTGATTTGGTTGTAAAATGTATTTCAAAAGTAAATTTTAGGGTAAGTTTTATATAATGGAAAGGTTAAAGCTGATAAAACACTATTTTTAGAAGAAATAAAATGCAGTACAGGACTATTTTTTTCATAATCCCAAAGAGTATAATTATAAAAAGTCCCTTCAAAACCTATAAGGTTCATTTTGTCACCTATGATACTAGTCAATTGTGAGATGCTCAGTGTATTTGTCATAAATAAATGTAAACCAGGGGGACCATTAATGCAAAATTTGTAATTTCTAACATTTTGGTAGATATGTTTTACCTAAACTTTAAAGGTAGCTAAATGGTAAATCAAAAAGTAAAAGTGGTGGTGTGAGGTTAATTAAAAAAATTGATTACAAAGGTCTCATTTTCTGGTTTGGCAGTTCTTTAGATGTTTATAAACAACATGACCAAATTGTATTTCTCCAAATTCAGAGGAAGTAACACTGTCCAAGTTTAATCTTGTCATCATCCTAAAGACAAATTTATATAAGTACTTAAAGTATGGATAAAAATTTGAAGCATGAAATTGAAAATAAAATTGTTTATCTCCCCAATGGCTTGTTTTTTATTTAAGAAATAAAAGTGTTAATGACTACCCTGTGTTTTGCTTTCAGGAAGCATATTAACATTGAAATGTTACAGGTATGTTAGTCTGAAAAGAGGCAATTAATTTGTTGATTATGCTGATGAATCTCCTTATTCCCCCATAAAAGGCCACAAAATACTTGGGAAACTGCACAACGCAGGCTAAACTATATAGTTGTCTTTCTACGTTCTAGGTTATAGAAAGCTTACCAAACACTTTCTCCTTATGAGGTTCCAAAGGAGAGTAGCTTGTAGTTTAAACAAGAGCAACATAATAGCCCAAGGTATTAGCCTATAAAAGTAATGGTGTCAGGAGTCTTGCAAATCAATATATTTGTGAAAACTAAAGTAGTATGGGGGAAAAAACCTCATCACACTTTGTGCTACACTTCAATTAAAGAGGGAGTCCTGGTGTAGTGCTGTGGGCTAATGTGCCAGACTGCAAAATCTTTTGAACAATACCACCACAATGTGATGGAATCTGGGTCTATAAATTTTTAACCTTTAAATCTCAGTAAGCCTCTCTTCCTAAATTAAGCATATGATGAAGGCGGGTAAAAGATTTTAGGTTAAGTTCTGCCATTATCCTAAAACATTATCAAAGGACAGAGTACAACTAAAATTTCTTAAATAAGGAATCCTGGTGTGGCATTGTAGTATAAAAGCCTTGGGCTGGTAACCACAAGGTGAGTGATTTAAATCCACCAGCCTTGAAAGCCTGATTATTCACTGTTAAGTGCCGTCGAGTCGGTTCCGACCCATAGCAATCCTGTACAGGGTTTTCCAAGGCTGTAAATCTTTACTGGGGCAGAAAGCCTCATCTTTCTCCCGTGGAACCGCTGGTAGTTTCAAACTGCTAACCTTAAGATTCTACAATTATTCACTGTAGCCATGAGTTAAAAAAACAGACTTAAGGAGCTCTGGTAGCACAGTGGTTACAAATCGGGCTGCAAACCGTAAGGTCAGCAGTTTGAAAATACCAGCTGTTCCGTGGGAGAAAGATGAGGCTTTCTGCTCCCGTGTAAAGATCTCAGCCTCGGAAACCCTGTATAGGGTTGCTATGACCACGGCACTTCACCACCACCACCTTAGAAGGCACTTGGTGAGTCCTGGTATGGTGCTATGGGCTAATGCACGAGACTGCAGTCATTGCACCGCAAGGTTGGTGGGTCACCAGTGGCTCCTTGGAAACCTACACAGCATTGCTATGGGTTGAAATAGACTCCACAGCCCTTTACATTACATCATGAGGGCACTTAATCCAGTCCAAAACTAAATCCAACTCATAGCAACCCTACTTCTTGTTACATGCTGTTGAGCTGGTTCTGACCCGTATCACAGTGACCCTGTATAGGGTTGCTGAGAAGTGGCTGGTGAGCTTGAACTACCAACCTTATGGTTCAAACTGATCTTGCAGTCCCCAGTGCATTAACCCACAACATGTTGTTGTTGTTAAGTGCCATCGAGTCGGGTCCGACCCATAGCGACCCTGTACAGGGTTTCCAAGGGTGTAAATCTTTACGGGAGTAGAAAGCCTCATCTTTCTCCCGCGGAGCGACTGGTAGTTTCGAACCGCTGACCTTAAAGTTCGCAGCCCGATTCGTAACCACTACACTACCACAACATACCATCTGAAAAAAACCTAGATTAGACACAAGGGCATTTTCTTTACAAACTACTGTCAACTCAAATGAAATTTACATGCCTCATTTTTATTTCACATAAAGCCCCCCAACCTTTTAATAACACGTGAAACAGTTGTTAGGAATACAAAAACAACTCTAAACAATCAACACTTGGAGGGATGAGGGGAACCCAGGAAAACACCCTAAAAAGAACCTTTTCCATAGGCAGAATTTGAATGGCAATAACTTAAGACAAATAGGTTAATGATGTCACATTGTTAATTAAGCTCTCATTATCGGAGACAAAAATTACCCCATTTCAAAATAAACCTCAGGAAAAAGATTGAAAATTTCAAAGTCAGGCTTGAAAGAGTTACACAATCACAACAGCCATGGGTCCTTGGATTACACTTAACCCCTGGTTTCTCTCTCTCATGTTATCTAGTAGGTTGCAGACTGAGACTATATAATGTTCTCATCTATAAAATGGGATATAGTATCCTCCCCTAGAAGTGCTTTTAGGAATTTTATATTTAACATGGCAGTGTAGTGGTTATGAGTCAGGCTGATAATCTCAAGGTCTGCAGTTCGAAACTACCAGTTGTTTGGTGGGGGAAGAGGCTTTCTGCTTCTGTAAAGATTTACAGCCCTAGAAGCCCTCAGCAAACCAACTCCAGAGCATATAACCATCACTAACATAAATGGAAACCACAGAAGATAAAGCAATCCATTCTAATTCAACAGCTTCCTAAACCTCATACATCTTTATATTTAAAACTTACAGAACTATCAAATATAATGTTAAACTTAGTATTTTCCAGCAAAAATAAAACCAGAAGGCTAGAAAAACCACTCAATAGGTATTTTTACCTTACCAGTATACTTAACAAAAAAACCCCCACCTTTTTTCTCCTTAAATTTTTAATCTCAATTCAAAAGGAAAGAGCAAAGCATCTTTGAAGAACGGACGTATTAAGTTTTAAAAAGTATACAGAACCACCGCTTACGAAACCACCACTTAATGCTGATGAAGTACTCTTAAACTAAATCTAGCCAATCCCTACATTCCATCATTTTTATTGTCTCCAAGAAAACAAAAAAGCTAAAAACAAAAACAAACCCATTTCATTAAAACAGTAACATGAACCAAATGGAAAAATAAAACAAAAATACTGACTAATTTAGAATTTGCCAATTTACTTGTTACATGACCTTGGGAAAGTTTATATGTATCCTGCTCTACTTTCAAAATCTTTTTTATAGTAAAGGGTTGAATTCCACTCCTGGCATTCTAGGGGAATAAACTTTTTATGAAGTTTTAATTACATGGCAAGAATATGATGAAAATCAAATGTTAATGAGCGATGGAATCAATGCATAAACAAAATTCATATCCTAAAATAAGTAACTAAGGAATCCAAAAACATTTTGTGATACTAAAAAAGTTATTTATTCACTATACACAGAACATGTCCCCTATAAAATGTACATGTAAATCACTACAAAGTAAATTTGGTGAACATTTTCTCAATTACAGAACATACTAAATCAGTTGGGATAACAGCTCTGTCTGCCTCAATCTAATTTTAGCACCCAGAGTCTCTCCCTTTATATATAATGCAAAGGTAAATACTTATTTTGGGGATTATTTACTAATATGTCTTTGAGGAGGCAGAGTTAACAATTTAATATAACTCTAGTATATCACAGCCACTGCACAATAAATCAGTTTATTACAATTTAAACAAATCAATTTTCTCATTATTTGTATTAGTGGGATGCAAACAGAAATACTGATAAATAAAATGGCAGATAACCACAAAATTACTTATCTTTGATAACATATTGGGGTTTACAATCACATTAGAATGAGTGGTGTAAACTATTATTATGAACACACCTCAAACAAAACAATGAGGCCATATTGTAATGATTCACTAGATTGTGCTCAGTAGACATTTGTTGAAAATAATCTACTTTTCTCCCAGGACAATATGTTGCCCAAAGTCAGGGCTCAACAAACATTTGCTAAGTATACTATGAAAGAGGCGAGAAGAGAGGACTCTTAACTGGCTGTCAAGTATTGTATTTGAAATTACCTGGGAAATAAGAGTTTAAGAAAGATGTAAACAGCATGTGGCGTACAAGTAAATAAATTCAAGATGCCAACAAAGCAAACAATTAAGCAAAACACTGGCACCAGAATAAACAATGACAAGGTTTGTCAATAGCACAAAAAAAAAAAAAAGGGGGGGGGGAGCTGACTTTTTTAAGAGACAACCAAGAAAATTTGTATTGGACCATTCCTTTTTCCACCCAATTCAGGTTGAGACAGACCAATAGAGGCACTGTAATAGACTATGGCTGTCTTCCTTAATATTCAGACATCCTAATTTTCAGTAATTTATTATGGACCTATTACTCATGAATCAATAGAAACCTATTCATATTTAGGGATTAGTTTCCACAAGTACAAAGTTGAATTTCCTTTTATTTGTCCTAAAATGCTTACTTTCAAACTTGAAGGGACTTCAATTATTCCATGTAGCTTTCGATAACATTCTTTTATCTTTTCAGACCAGAGTCAAAATATTCGTACAGTATTCATACTGCAGCACCTTCCACCCACCCTTTGGTCGCTTGAACTGCCCTTCTTTGGTTCTTTTTCCGCTTTCTCAGATCTTTCTTGAAGTGTAGTAAGCAGAACTGTACTGGGTATTCCAGCTGCAGTTTGGTCTTAAATAAAAGAAGGATGTTTGTCAGTTTGGTTTTCTTTATTCTTCTCTGTGGTTTACAGGATTTTTGTTAGTCGAACTGGATGTAGCAGCTTACTGGGCCAAATTTTCAAGAGAATAGTACAATAGCTCCCAGGTCTTTTCCCTGGGCTGTAACTTATCAGCTCATACTCTATGTAGTACCTTTCCTTTCTCACTGAAGCATTATCTGTCATTTTTCTTCTTGCTTACTTGGCTTCAAAAAAACAAAAACAAAAAAATGCAGAGATCTTAAGTAAAAAGAGAGGTGAACTATCAAACCTCACTCGAGTCTTGATATGATCTACTCTATCGAACAGTGTCAGACACACAGTAGATATTCAGTAATTCTGGAACTCAATTATGTAACCCAAAATTAACTGTGTATCAAGTAAAGTAAGATCCCAAATATCATGGGTTCAATCATAATATAGCCCTTTTGAAGCTAATTTGATATAGAAGGCTCTTAAGAAAACAGCCTGAGTTTAAGAATAAGGTAATGCATGTAAAAAGCAAAAAATATTTTTAAGTTCCATAGAGACAGAGATTTATTTAAATGGGCTATAGTTTTCTCCTGAATCTACTTTCAGGGCTAATGTGCTTATCACACTGCCTGATTAAGTTTCTCACTGAGACTCAGGGTCTGATAAATTATGAGAACGCTTGTTTTTTATCTATCAAATTATAGCCCATTAAAGAAAAATATCAGGCCTGGGCTTAAATAAATCCTGGCTCTGCCATTTATAACCCTGATGTCTACTGCATTATTTCTTCATGTGTGATATGGGGATTATAAAAGTATCTTTCTCAGTTTTGTGAAAAGTAAATGATTTAACATGAAAGGCCTTAGAACACTGTCTGGCACATTATAAATGCTCAATATACATATCAGCTATAATTACTGACATTATGAAGTAGCTAGAATTCAAACATAAAACACCTAAGTCACTTTCCCAAAGTGGTTATCACTTAACATTAACTACTCACCAACATTCAGTGCAAAAGTATTTTAAATCATGCCATAAATAATAAGGCCGAATCTTGTTTAGGAAAGGGGGAGAGCAAAAATATTGGTCCATCCAATAATGAAACTTATAGTTGCTGTCCCAAATTTCATTTTAACACATGAACTTATCACTATCAAACAACCTCTAAGTTATTTAACCCAAGAGGTTTAACGAGTAATCTTGAAACAACTTCATCATTGCATAATAATTTTTGAAGTATTATGTAAAAGATGTAGCTTTCTGACAGGTTCTGTCATTTCCAAAGTCAAAGTTAATTGTGCCCAGTGCAACATGGATTAAAAATATTCCTTAATCTACAAGGATTGTTTCCACTGTTATTTTAGAATCATATTCCAAACTATAATAATTCCAGTTAATCATTATTTCCTTCATTTTGTTTTTATTATAGCATGTTTGCTTAATTTACAGCAAGCAGAAAATAAGCTGGGTCTTGTTTTGATCCAAACATTGATGTTTTAAAGGTTGTACACAATATTTGTTAAAAAGAACATATAAAAATACCTTTTTAGAAGCTTCTATAAGAAAGAAAATACAAAGTTTAACCCCACAACTTTCCTCTTTGCTAGAACTGCAAACTACTGCTACAGTTTTAAATAATTTTGTTTAAACTATACATCCAGGAAAATCTAAAAAAATTAAAGAAACGTGCATATAAATGATTGCATAGCAGAACATGAACATTAACTGCAACAGTAAAGAAATGAAAGTTAGAAATACTATCAAATATACAAAGGCTTTAGAATCAATCCTTCAAAAACACATTCCACAGACAATATTTTAAAACCACCTTTTGTTCTTTACAGGCAGGCCTAGACAACTAAAACCAAAATTGAAAACAGCAATTCCCTAAAAGGAGTTGCTTTCCCACAATGATTCTTACTTTCATCTGTAAGCAAGCAATCTGGGATTTAAAGATGCTAGCTTTAATTCTGAAATGAAGTTAGATATGTCAAGTCACTTTTATTGTCCTCAAAATTATCTTTAAGAGAAATACCAGAAATTATAAATGGTTAAGGGCATCGTTTTTTCCTTTTCAGTCAAGTACTGCGCCAGGTCTACACTGGGAATAATAAACTCAAGATATGTCAATCTTGCTTAACATGGAATAATTCCTTTTCTGAAATGACTTTAAATTTCATGGCACCAGAGCTACCTAGCAATGGGAGTGTTGTTTTTCAACTTGCCTCACATTAAATAAACTTGAGGTGTAAAAAGCAAGTCTCTTTTATAAAGAGGTAAGCAGATTTTAATATAAATGCACACATCAGTTGAGTGCTATAAGTATCACAATTCAGTTCTTTCCCACTATTCACACATACAAAGGAAACCGACTTTGGAACAATTTACACGCTTCTAACAGCTGTAAGAAAACGAAGCAATATTATGGTTAACAACGCGGTCTTAAAATTTTGAGTACTACAAAAGAGCATTTTCCCCTCAAAATGATCTCTGCCAGAATTGATCTGCTCAAATTTGAGGTGTTTTTCCTGACATTTCTGTGTTTCAAATCTTCATAGAAACCAGAAAAAAGCAGCAAAGGCTCCATGTTTTAGTAAAAACTCAAATCTCCCTGGAAAAGGCTACTAAACCCAGTTGGCATCATTCCCCACGAAAGCAGGGCTAACAAAGACTTATACTACACTGCAGATTGAGATAAACTAGTAGCATGAGCCTAGATATCTAGTAAGTCCTAAAGGTCCACCCTGAACCTAAATGTGTTGTCTGAGCAGTCAGTGTTGTCCTGTGGCTACCACCTCACTTTTGTATCATTCTATTTTATTAACAAGCTACATTTCTAGGTTAACAGTTCTACCAAGTATGGATATGAAAGTTTATTTTTAATAAGACAATGTTGCAAATTATGGTCAACCAACATCTTTTCATCAATACTTCAAACATAAAAAATGAGAATCTTTACAAAAATATACAGAGACACCACAAATTGGTAGCTGCCCATAACATTAAACAAACTGGACTCTTAAGAGTGGCTTCTCAACAGCATATCATTTTAATTATAACCATTGCCTGGTACAGGGAAAACTAACAAGTGTTTTTTAAGCATCATTGCAACATTGTATTCCTGATAATTTAAGTAAACCAAACTATGAGTAAATGAATGATACATGCCTAAAAATATCATGGTTTATATACTATTAGTGGCCACTGGACTTGGGACTAGTCCATGACCTTGATCTAGACTTTGACCTAGACCTAGACTGTGATCTTGACTGAGATTTGGATCTAGGTGGTTCTTTTTTCCTTGATTCCTTTTCATATCTTGAGCCAGACTTATAATGTGTTTTGGAATCTGTTTTAGAGGTGCCTCTAGTTTTGGTGTGAGATGCAGACCTAGAACGTGATTTAGCCTTCATTTCTTTCTTGGGCTGGGACTTGGACCGTGATCTTGAATTGGATTTAGATCTTGAAAAAGATCGATTTCGGTGTTTGAATCTTTCAAAACAGAGGAGAGATACAATTAGAGTAAAAATTAGATTCTATATTAATCAAATTTGTTATTTTTAGAGCAAAAGTTCACTCTGAAATTGAAAAATGTATACAGGTCGTTTTCAAAGCAAATTTATTTACCTATCATTGTTGGAATGGCTTCTGCTACGCCGTGGTCTTCCAGTCGGTCTACTGCTAAAAAGTATACCAAAAAAAAAAAAAAAAAAAAAAGCAAACAGTGACAAATGTCTATAGATTCTTTTAAAGTTTCTAATAAAAAGTGAGCCACAAACATTTAAAAAAGCAACTATTTTTAGTCTCACTGAAACATTTAACACACAGCATATATATAATTAAAAGAATACAAAACAGGTTAAAAAAAAAATTTTTTTTTTAATGTGACAGCAAACAGAAATCGTTCCTAAGAGATCATTGTGCTATCTATCACACTTACTTTCTAGGACTATAAGATCTTCTATAGTTGTAATCAAAAGAGCGACTTCTTGATCTCCTTCTTTCATAACTTCGGCTTCTAGAACGTCTGTATCTGTCATAATCATCGTAGCGTGAAGAACTGTACACATTCCTTCCTTCCTTGGCTTTCATCTGATTTGGTGCTATGAAATATATAGAAAAGAAACAGAGTCAAGGTTAATAACGTAAATATTAGTCTCAGATAAGTATTTATTTTCTAGGAAATCTATCAGACAAAGCTTTTATATATGAAAAATTTTATGATAAAAAAATCCTAATTTTCCCAAAGTTGTTTTGCCACCTAGCTTTCTGTCCAAGATATGCCAACTACTTTGGTATTATGAAAATATAATATAAAAACATTATGGAAATACATGAATACATTCTGAACCATATATGGATCTGGAATGACCTCGCCATGATTTCCATTCATTGTTAAGTGCCATTTCCATCTGAGTCATTTCAAACTCACAGGGACCCTTTATAGGGTTTCCAAGGAGCAGCTGGTGAGTGTGAACCACCAATCTTGGAATTCAAACTGACCTTATGGTCCAGTTTGCCACACCAGTACTTATCCATGTTGCCACACCAGTACTCCTTTCATTTATTAGGAACACAATTAACAAAAATACTTACTGGTGGCCTACGAATAATGTGTAGTATCAAAATACAGGATATACAGTTGTATACAATTCTGACAGAAAAGTATGAGAACTACTAACACTTTTTAAAATTCTATGCTGCTGATACTTTTTTTGCACACACACACAACATAGTGAATATCCAAGAACTAGGGAATCGCCAATACTGTGTGTCCACTGAAGTGCCTGCCCTCTTTTTAGCAACTATTTTAACTCCTATCTTTTAGTATCTTGGCCAAAATAAAATAAAGGCTAAGTCAGAAGTCAAACCTAGGTCTATACAACTACAAAAGTTTATATAATACCCATACCCTGGCACATCAGAATCCTGGTGTTGCACAGTATGATAAGCAGTGGAGGGTCAGTGGTTTAAATTCAAAGCTGATTCACTGAAAGCCTATACAGTGTTACTAAGAGTAGGAATCAAGTTGAAGGTACCTAACACCACCCTGTCTCATCAGTCTGCAGCAAATATCTGCTTTATGCCTTCATAAAAAACACACACAAATGGAGTAGAAATGCTGAAAACATTTATAGTTTCAGAAATCCTGATACGCAGTTTCAGTAGCAGACTACAATCTTTCTCCCAAGGAACTGGAGGGTTCTAACCTGTCATCTTCTTTTGGTTATAGCCTAATGCTTAACCCATTTTGCTCTTTTATGCTTGCACATAACAAGGGGGCTGAAAGTTCATGGAAAAACAGAATCCAAAGACAATGGAACTTTTCTATGAACTTAAAATTCCCAAGTTTCACTCCTTTTAACTTTGCCCCTCATATATTAAACATGCCATGGTAGATTCCATACATGTTTTGACCTGTCTGATCTCTTTCGTACTCTGCCTATGTCTTCCCTGAAATTCTGTAATACAATGGAAAAACCAAGACACTCCACACTTTCTTTTTAGGTTCTGAACAGATAAACTATGTAGGTTTCCAAGAAGAAATCCCCAAAGCAAAATATTGTCTAAAAATGATACATTATATGTTAAGACATAAGGATACTTACTCTTCCGATCTCCTTGTGCAAATTGGATTTCAATTTGACGTCCACAAATCCATTTTCTGTCCAAATTATGTAAAGCATCTTCGGCATCACGAACATCCTCAAATGTGCTAAATGTTAAGGGGCTTGGGAAATTTTGCAAACTTTGACAATGAATTGACAGTTCACTTGGCAAAATCTGGAACAACTCACAATTTCCCAATATTGCCCTAGAAAAATCAACCAGACCCCACACTTACTAGCTGATTGACCCAGCTATACACACTTCACTTGTGATTTCCTAAAGCCTAAGCATTAAACAAAAAAAGGTGAATACAAATTGTATTAAAATAACTGAATCACCAAGTATGTAATCCTATAAAAAAATTTAACCGAGGTTTAAGAATTAGCTTCATAAAAGACCAAAATAACAACAAAAAAAAAACCCTCAGCAATACATTAGATGCTAAAATAAAGATTTATTAAAAAACTAAGATAGTTTTCATATGAAAAGAAAATGGTAATAGTTTTTGTTTCTTGAGTAAGCAAGCAGAATAATCTTGCAAGATGGAATATTAGCATTAGTTTTAGTTGTCTCAGATATATCTAATACTATTAGTTTATATATTTGTCTTCCTTGCATTATACATGGAAGGCTGGGATGCAGCCATTTGTGGGTATCAAGACAAAGTCATCAGACAATACAACCATTATATGGAAAGCAAACAAACCATGCAGAGTGTACAAGCATGCTGTCAAGAATTAACAGATGATTCTAAGGGATCTAAGACTGGACAGTCCTAACCAAGACACAGCCAAGAAGTAGGAATGGGAATGGATTCTAACTTGAGAATTTCAGAATAATTTAGATCAGCCTCAAGTAGGAACTGCGTGTACCTTTTTTTAGATCTAAGAGGCTTAGCTGTCTTGTACTCCCTTCTTTAACACCAGCAATTAACACCCAGTTCAAACCTAGTTCTTTTCCTAAAACCACCACTTGAACAGAAGCCAAGTACACATTCACGACACTTTGGGATAGGGAGATAGGTTATTTAGATGTGGATTTTCATACTATCTTAAGAATCATTTTAATTTTCATTTCTAGTTCTTAAACTTGAGAGAAAAGACAAAATACCCTAAAGAGTTGATCAAAAAATACTCTCAAAATTCACACATTTGATTTATTATATACTAAAGAGCTCTGGTAACATAGTAGTTACGAATCCGGCTGCTAACCTCAAGGCCGGCAGTTCAAAACTACCAGCTGTTCTACTGGAGAAGATGAGGTTTTCTGCTCTGGTAAAGATGTGCAGCCTTGGAAACTGTACAGGGTCGCTATGAGTTGGAACCGACTCCACGGTACTCAACAGCAGTGGCTCTAATTCCAGAAACCAATTGACCCGCCTCCCCAATTTCCCATTAGTTGCTATGAAAAGGAATTAAGGCCTGTAGTATCTTTTCAACTCTGTTCCAAAGTCTATTATGTGTAGGAGAAATGAAAAGAGGCTTTCCCAAGTCCTAAATTATTAGGCTTCCAATTTGAAAAGCAAGTAAGTTTAGAGCATTTAATACTTTAAAGTACAGTTGACTTTGTTTTTTTGTTACCCCAAGAGACAGAATATAACTATGTAACAAAAGATTTAGATCAAGGAAACTATAAAAGTTATTAATGAAGTTAATAAAAATCTCAGGTGCTACCTTCAAACAATAGAATCCTGAGCTGGATGAAACATGGCAAAGTTCTACTTTACCTGAAACCAGTCATGGCAAAATTTGTAATTCAGGGTCTTTCCAACAAAAGTGGTAAGTATTACTTCTTTTCATTTAACTATTTAAAAAGCCACAGAAAAAAATGACTCTGCACACACACAACAATTATCACTCTGCTTTACATTTCTTTTTTAACCAGGCCAGATACAGCTCTTCTGTAACAGAAGTTTGCAACCAGTTCCACAATGTCCTTGATCACTGGTCCTGCAGGAGTTTTTGGCCTTTCTCCATAAGATCAGTCTTACTAGGACTCAGCAAACTAAGTTTCAAAAAATAAAAACACCCATTGAATTAAATAATAAGTACTTTTCCCTAGATTGATGGCCACAGTCCAAATCTTTGTTGTTGCAAGATGATCTCACTGAAGGAACGAGAAACACTGTCACCTGAAACTCTAGGTCAAGCACCAATTTCCTACATTGATTAGGTATCTGCACTAGGGAGGGACCTTCTGGGACACATTCAGGGCCAACTGATCATATATGCTAAAGCACTGCAGGGCCAGCAGGCTTCACAGAGCAAAGCTTCAGAAGGGGATGTGCTTCTAATAAGCCACTTCAAAATCTATCTATAAACAGGTAGTGGATCTGAACTTTTAAGACCACCAGAGTGCGTGAACCTGTCTTCTCCCCTTTAAACAGTTCTGTGGAGTTGACCTGACCCCAAAACCTCATGCTACTCCAAAAAGCACTGTTTGCTACCCCGTGACATCTAACTACCCCATCCAAAATAGAGGTATGCCAAATTTAAGCTTAAAAATGTTATATTCTGCTGTATTTTTTAACTTGACCAGCTAAGAGAGTGTGCATTTATACAAGACCACAGTTATAACATCCAAGGCCCACACAAGTCAAGTTACAGGTTTTGTCACTAGACCAAACCAGAATAATTTTGAACGTTAACTGCTTACAAACCATTAAAAAAAAGAAAAAAGAAAAAGAAAAAGAAAAAAGGAAAATTGTTATTCTGTAGGATACATCAGGTATGACTCCTTTAATCTTGGCCATCATTCAACTTCATCTTGACCTTTAACTCTTTAAGTGCTTGTCAGAAGGACTTGTCATGAGATGCTTGGTCAAATATGACAGATGGCTTTATCTTTAACTTTGAAAAACAACCTTTTCCCCCTTTTGTAGATAAAGCGAGGCTTTGTCTCCCATTAGGCTTGTCCTTCTTCCAGCTTTTCTTTATTTTTTCTTTTCCCAAACTCTCCCTTCTCTTCAAGCCTGATCCTTAAGAGGTCTTTGGCTTGTCTACTTGCCTTAAGTGTTGAACTCTACTCTAAAGGTTCTTTCATGCTTTCTCTTTGGGGTCGCCATAACTGTACAGCTTTACATTCTCTGAGGTAACAACAGAGGACAGCAAATTAGGGGACAATATTAAAGAAGTTTACCTCATTTTTATACAATTTGTTTCTGATCAAGTGATTCAAATTAACAAATAAGAATACTAAACTGTATATTGCTAAGCACAAAACACATTAACTTTTAATTTAATTAAAGGCGGTAGCAACCAGGGTGTTTCTAAATTCAAATCACATATCATAATCATTGATTTGAGTTTCAGCAGCATGAATGGGAATTTAAATACTTTTACTACTATTGAATTAACTTAAATAATTAAGAGCAATGTGTGAGTCAGAATTAATTTTCAAAAAAATCTGAAGACACAAGACATTAGAGGACAAAACAAACTACTTTTTAGATGTTACCTCTTACATAAACTTGAATTTCAAACTTCAACACCCCTCACTAATCAGCCATCTGAAGAAAGGATATTGAACATAAGCAAATCCTCTTGGACGACGAGTGTAGAAATCAAGTGGAACATACACATCAACTATAGGACCATAGCGACCAAATTCTCGACGTAAATCTTCAGACCTAAAACATCATAAAAAAGATTTCAATTTTTTTTATGATCATACCCTTCAGAGTTTCTTTGTAGGAAAATAGCCTCTTTCTAGAATGTCTCAATCAATGCAAGGGACTGTGGTTAAATACATGGAAATGTGTGACCATATGTTCCTGTACTGGAAACAGACAAGCTTTCTAAAACTCAATGCAACTGAGTTGATCTGACTCATAACCACCCTACAAGACAGAGGATCTCCAAAGTGGTAAATCTTTACCGGAGACTACCAGGTGGCGCTGTGGGTTAATGCGCCAGACTGTAAAGCTGTGTGAACTGCAAGGTCGGTGGTTCAAGCTCACCAGCTGCTCCTCGGAAACCCTATACAGGGTCGCTGTGGGTTGGAATTGACTCGACGGCACTTAACAACAATCACTTTCTCCCAAGGAGCTATGGTAGAGTAGTGGTTACGAATTGGGCTGCTAATCTCACATGGAAACTACCAGCTGATCGGGAGAAAAATGAGGCTTTCTGCTTCTGTAAAGATTTACAGCCTCAGAAACCCTGTAGGGGTCGCTATGATGAGCTGGAATCTACTCCACAGCACAATACAACAACAACTTCCTCCTAGAGTGGTTGGTGGCTTCCAACGTTTTGGCTGGCAGCTGAGTGCTTTAATCATGGTGTCACCAAGACTCCTTAGGAAAAGCTATGTTGTTGCTAAGTGATCTCATACAGATCCTATACAGGGTTTCCAAGGTGTGGCTGGTGGATTTAAACTGTCAACCTTGTGGTTAGCAGTTCAGTACTTATTTATCCTGCAGTGTCACACAGGACCCAAGAATTTGGATTGACAAAATGCTGAATATAATCCAATCACTGTCTTACATTAGTAGCATGTCCAGGAGTCAGGAAAACCACAGGTTTACAAAAACTTGACCACAATTAATTTTCATTTGGCACTGCTATTTTATTTTTTGAAAAATCATGTTGTAAGTCAGTCTCTATTGCTTATGTCCCCCTCCCTCCCACCCTCGAATCAAACCAACTCTAACCACAAAAAACAGTATACACTTCCTTTGTTGCCCCAATTTTAGCCACCAAGTGAGACGATAGGTGCGTATGACTTGAAATGTCACAAATGACAAAACAACAAATTTTACAGATAAAAAAATAAATATTATCGTTTTCTTTTCCTCTTAAAAATTAGGACAGAAACCTGCGTAAATCACACACGGCTACAGCAAACCATCGAAGGTTGATGTTTTGTGAAATATTAAGTCTTTGTGGTATGTTCCAAGATGTTGTGAAAGCAATTCGAAGCAATTAGGGGAATTGTGGGAACAAAGCCTACTTAAGGTACAGGCTAGATTAATCTAATTTAGATTTCAGCGTTTTAACGGTTACTATTGTTAAGTGCCGTTGAGTCAAAAGACCAGAATTATCAAGGCAACGGGAGGGACTAATTCACACGATTAAAATGGTAACAAAAATATCCTCCAAATTCTCAATGTTCTTTTCTCCAAACACCCCTAACACGTTAAGATTTAAAAGCCACAACGATATTTAAAAATTGCCGAATGCTCCGCAACAATCCCCTTCCTCGATCCCGTTATTCTAGCACAAAGCGATCTTTTTGTTCTAGTTGTAGGAAAAAATAAAACAAAAAAACGCACCCCAAAACTCTGAGCCGAGGGGGCGTGCACCCCAAAAAACGTGAGTTTCGAATCAATGGGGAGTGGAGCTGGGCCGCGGTGGGGACTGCACGCGCCTCCCCGCCGAAAGGAAGCGGGGAAAAAAAGCCCCCTCAGTCCGAACTGTGGAGGGGGAGGGGAAATCGGAAACGCCGCCACGCGGCCAGCGCTTTTTGCCACGGCCCGGGCCAGGGGCGCCTTGCTGGCACCCACGCGGCGGTTGAGACTGGCGGCGCGGCCTAGTTCGAGCGCCAAAGACGGCGCGGGACCCGCCATCTTCATCCCGTCCCCTCCCCCGGCCTAACGCCGCCGCTCCGGTCCTCTCCATGCTCCTGCGGCCTCCAGCGTATACCCAACGTACCTCCTCTGGACATACCTGGTATCATCAGCCACGTTCCTCACGAACAGAGACGTGTTGGGGGGACGCAGGTAGCGGGACATGTCGGCAGCGTGGGTATCAGCCAGGTGCACTAACGGGCTCCACAAAGCGTCCGCACGTCCTCCGGCGGATCCTCAGACACGCACAGCCAGAGGGCTCCGCTACGGCAACCGCCTCTTCTCGCGAGACTTCACTCCCGCCTCCACCCCGCCCTAACTCCGCGCAATGCCGGCACAGGCAACGGTTTTTTCCCGCGAGATCACGAGGCGTGCGCCTGCGCATCCAGAAGGCTGGGGGGTGCGCGCCGCGGCGTCGGTTTCATTCATTGGTTTGTCGCGTAGCCTCTACTTTTTAACGTAAGCCCGCTCTTTCTTTCTTTAGTACTTTATTTTCCCGCCCTTTTCTGCCTTGTCCAAGGCCCAAGACTGAAAGCAGATGTTTTAACTCTTACGCCAAACTTTACAGTTATTACTAGCTCAGTAAGTTAAAAAAAAAAAAAAAAAAATTAGGGGACACCGCCATAAAATTTCCTGTACTATCAAAGTTAAGTTCTTAAAAAAAAAAATTTTTTTTTAATTCGATTCCTGACCAGCATGGACAGGATTTACAGCCTCTTGTATTGAAAGGAAAATCTAAAAGTGAGCTGTTGGAATCCACCATGTGGCAGTCGGCTTCCGTTAGTGATTAGAAAAACGAAAGCGAAACCCATTGTTGGCTCGTGGACGCGATTTCATAAGAGATAGTAGAACTGCCCCAGATCATTTACAAGCCACTGTAAAGAATAAAGATGAGGCTGTCTGTTTGTGTAGAGATTTACAGTCTTGGAAATCCTAAGGAGTAGTTCTCCATCCTGCAGGGTCACGGTGAGCTGGAATTGACTAAATGACTGTGGAAATATTTATAGAAGTGGATTGCTGCATCAGTTTCCTGCAGAGCAGGCTGATGGATTTGAACCACAGGCCTTCAGCAGCCAAGCACTTATCCAGTGCACCACCAGTGTTCTGTAGAGATCGTTAGTGTTAGGTGCTGTAGAGTCATCCTAACTCATTGTTAGTGGCATCGATTCGGTTCCGACTCATAGCGACCCTGTATCGTGTGGGTTAATGTGCCAGCCTGCAAAAAACCCTTTGTACTGCAATGTTGGCGGCTCAAGCTCACCAACTACTCCTTGGAAACCCTATAGAAGGTCACTGTGGGTCAGAAGTGAGTCCTGGTGTGGTGCTGTGAATTAATGCACCAGACTTCAAAGCCGTTTGAACTACTAGGTCGGCTGTTCAAGCTCACCAATCGCTCCTCGGAAACCCTGTACAGGGTCGCTATAGGTCGGGACCGACTTGACAGCACTTAACAACAACAACAATGGGTCAAGTGACTCGACGACACGTAACATGTTTCTGAGGCTGTAATTCTTTGCGAAAGCAATCTTTCTCCATGTAGAGATTATTGTTGTTCTTCAGTGCTGTTCAGTGGGTTCAAGTCATAGCGACCCTGTATAGGATTTCCAGGGAATGGCTGGTGAGTTTGAACTGCCAGCTTTGCAGTTAGCAGCCCAGTGCTGATCTTACAGCACCATGACAGAACTCCAGACTTGGAAACCATACAGGGGCATAGTAAGGTTACTATGAGTTGAAAGCAACTCCATAGCAAAGTTTTTTGATATTGGTGGAGTAGTGGTTATAAGTGGGGCTGCTAACCTCAAGGTCAGCAATTTGAAACTACCAGCTGTTCTGTGGGAGAAAGAACAGGCTTTCTGCTCCCATAAAGATTTACAGCCTCAGGAACCCTATACAGCGTCACTATGAGTTGGAACCAACTCCACGGCAAACCACCACCACCCAGGTGTGAAAAGGGATATGTGTCCTTGAGGGGGCCTGGTGTGGCACTGTACCATAATCACAACTGCTAGCCACAAGGCTGGGCCTTCAAACCCACCAGCTGTTCTTTGGAAACCTCATACAGGTTCGCTATGAGTTGGAACCGACGCTAGGGCACTAACAACAACAACAACATATGCCTTGCACTGAAATGGGCCTTTCTCCAGAACTTTAATCATGCACTGCACACTCCCTGAATGCTGTTGCCCAGGCTGCCACTTGCTTACACCCTTTTCAGCTTCGGGATGTCCTTGCTCCACCTGTCTCTGCTTGTTATTGTTAAGTGCTGTCAAGTCCATTCTGACTCATAGTGACTTCTATATAGGTTTTTTGAGGAGCAGCTGGTGGGTTTGCACCATTGACCTAGTGGTTCCCAGTCCAATGCTTAGTCTACAGTGCCACACCAGGAATCTATATTCCACTTCCTGGCAAAAGGTCGTTCCCAAACTTTTCACATTTTAGTCTCTGTCATCTACAGTATGCTTTCTGTATGTCTGTCCCAGTCTTAGAATCTCTCTACACTCTTACATTATGGAAGACCACAAAGAGCTTTGTTTATGTGGGTTACAGCTACTAATATTTATGAAACAAATATTCTTTATAACACAAGAACACCCAAGCACACATTCCACTGCCTTATATCACATCTTGTAGCCTCTGTGAACTCCATTGTACATTCCTGTGAAGATGAGCATGAAAAAGGCAAATCATGTTTTAGTATGGTTTTGATCTTGCATATGTCCATGAAAGGTTCTTTCAACTACTTTGAGAAACATCCCTGTTCTATTGGACTAAACTTCTGGAGATGAGGCATCTCCTGTTAAAATGCCTCTGGCATGTAACATTGCCAAACAGTAACAGAGACTCAAGTATTGAAGTAAATGAGCTTTTATTTTTATACAAGACCACATAAGTCGATCAGTTTTCCATTCATTAGTATCCAAAGCAATTAAGTGATACGACACAGATGGTGATAGTTTGCTATATTCCATAGCAGAGTTATTCTTTTTACATTTATATTTTCCAAGCTTTTTGAACATTTAATATTTAAAAACTTTTATTGATTACTTACGTTCAGACATTGCACTGGAAATTCAGTGGTGCAAAGCACCGACTTATTTTCTAGCAAAAGGGGGTGGGGTTTATAGAAAATAAGAAAGTAGACAATGAAGGTACTTACAGATTGTAGAGTGTGAAATGGAAATCAGTAATGTAACTTAAAAATTTTTTTAAAAACAGAGTTGTCTGGGAAAGCTTTGCTGTGCAAGTAAGTGTCTTTCCTCTTTCCCAAGTTAAGTCTTTTTTAGTGAAACCTTTAAGGAGCTCTGGTAGCGTAGTGGTTACGAATTGGGCTGCGAACCTTAAGGTCAGCGGTTCGAAACTACCAGCCGCTCCGCGGGAGAAAGATGAG